TTTGGGTTTAGATATGCTTTAAGAGATGGGAAAAGTAAAAGCATAGTAACTACACCATTACCAAGCAGAAACAAATAAATATGGCTGCCCCATTCCCCCATTGGCAACAAGTTCTTTTTCTTTCAATACCTCAGCACCCATGTATATCATTACGTACATTAGGCTGATCACATTAACATGTATATTTAAAAAGACCCCCAAAAAAACCTTGAATACTACAATGCAAATGTCAATGATGTTCCATAACCCTTTGAAGAAAGTAGCTTATTCTGGCCTCTACCATGTGTAATACTGCTATTTGCCCTTTTATTAATGAAGCATAAAAAAGTTGATGTACAATAGTATAATGTAATTAGCTCCAATAAAAGGGTTAAATATGACTTTGTCTAGTTATTCTCGAACCCCTTTCATTCAAATTGTCACTTGATAAAGCAATGTCAAATTCATACTGCAGCTCTTGGCATTTGGGTCATAAGAGGGCACTGTTATGGCTTTATCTAAAGTGGTTAGATATTTAGGCTGCCTATACGTGGGCAGGTAAAGGCAAGCAATGACTTTCATTTATGAAACCATCTCCCATGTGCTTCTGGGCAGTATGGACGCTCCAAGAAGTTAGAAGTCCTTGTAATTACATAGGCACATTTTCCATATTTTTTTTAAAGTGTGGCAATCATAGTGAAGGATGCATAGCTGTCAGCTTCAGGCAAGAATTGTAGTCCTGGTTGTGGGCGATTCATGCAAGTATGGGCAGATGTCATGACTAAGGTATTAAAGGTGGCAATCCCATCTCCATATCACCCCTTAAGGCCCCTCCTGTTCCTCTTTGCCTCCTCCAATAGGCACGTACTTCCATCTTTACACGTTTTTAACCCCTGTCGTATTCCAACCCCCTTAAAACCCAGTCATGTAGACCCTGTGCCAATGGTTTTGATTTCTTGCTAAAAGCCTAACTTACTTGGGAAAATATTTGACCATCCATGGGCAACTTTAGCTTCAGTCAGCTGGCACATATAACAATAGATGTAAATAAAATGTTCGGATGTACAGAGTCACTTAAAAGTATATCACTTCACAGATGTAGGAAACGGCAATGCTAATCATAGACACAGCCGTAATAATGATGCTACAATGATGATGCACAGTGCTGTGTGGATGGTGGTAATAATGAGCAGTGCTTAAGGTTGCAAGAAGCCACAAAACCGCAGTCATTTTCCAAGTTAAGTGTTGGAAAATGGCCCTCTGAAGTGGCAGGCACTATTTTGAAGGGTACATCCATCCCATGCTGTATCTGTGAGAAAGAAAATATGGCTTTCATCGATGCTTCAACATTGGCCTCTTGTGCTGAAGGGGGCTGCAGGAGGGGGTGATTAGGGATACAAGCACACAACACGACTCACCCCATAGGCGAACTGTGCTGTGATATTAACACCAAAGCTGCTGCTGGCTTGCCCTTGATTGTTTGCCTTCTTATTGTTCTAATAAAGAAAAAGCACTGAGCTCTGATTAAATTTGGCATATGTGACTTCTCACCCCTGCCTGCCCCTTTATCAGGACAGAGCTGGGGATTAATGGTTATCTGCAAACATTGTACCACACTGGACATGAATGCTGCTGTGTGAAATCAAAGGACTACATGGAAATAGCTTGTGATAAATAGAAAAGATACATAATTCCTGATTTTTAAAATGACTAAAAATAAGAGTGATCTGTAAACTGCAAATGGTAAATCTTTAAAAAGAATGGAATCGCAGAAGAGAAATTTGCAAGATGTACTTAGCTTGGGACTTCATAAAACACGGCAGATTGGCAAAACCATGAAATGTGAAAAAACGCTGAGCTGGTGCAGGATGTTTTTCTGGGTCTCTGTTGACCAAATATTTTGTAACATTCACAAATATTGCTGAGATATTTTTATTAAATAGCTGCATTTAAATCCAGAAAGTCCACAAACCTATTTAATACGTAAGGGCAACGCTGTAGTATTCCATAGCTACCATTCAGAAGACATCTGTCACCAGTTTGGATGAAGTACCCCCAAATATTCCTTGATAATCCAATTCTTTGATATTCTAGTTGGATTTACATAAAATAGAAGTATTATTTAAGTTTATCATGTGGTTCTAACATGTATGGTATAAGAAGCAATTTTTTTTTCAACTTAAAGGAGAACTATGAGCTGAGTGAAAATCACTCAGCCTCATAATTCAAACCGGCGTGTGATAGTGAAACTGTCACACGCCGCCTTAATTAGAACGGGAAGTGAGTGAACACATACCGTCGCACTTCTCGATCATCTCCCTGCAGAGAGCCGAGACTGTCACTCACGGCTCCCTGCAGGGATTCTTCCCCTCCCGGCTCTGATCCTCCAGCGCTGACTGGAGGAACGGACGGGGGTGGGGGCGGGTACAGCTGGCTCTGCCTCTAGATAGGCAGAGCCAGCTGTCACTCACGCAGCTGGGTGGATCTTGACAGTAATGTAGCTCGCGATTTACTGAGCTTTGGGTCACATGAGGACGCTAGTATGTGTCCTCCTGTGACCCTTAGGAGAGCTATGGGGAAAAACACTTACCCCATAGTTCTCCTTTAATGGTTTTACAGCATGCAAAAAATCAATGAAAGACGAACTCCAGGCAATCAAAAAATGAAACCTTGCAGTGGGGCTACCTCCGCACTTTAGGATTAGCTGCTCATTTTGGTCTAGGGGCTAATATAAAGAACATACACTCACCTGATGAGGTGACCACTCACCTCTCTCCCCCTCCACTCGGTGTGTAATGTCGCTTGGCCTCCTCATGTCTAATGCAGTTGGATTAGATGTGATGACATCACAGGTCCTTAGACACACCCGAAGCCAAGGGAGGAAGAGTTTGCAAGGACCGGTATAGCAACCAAGTAGGACTGAGGATCAGGTGAGTGTATTTTTTTTAATGTTAGCCCCTAGACTAAAATGAGCAGTTAACCCTTGCAGTTTCAGGATAGCCCCACTGCAAGGGTTAATTTTTCAACTGCTTGGAGTTCTTCTTTAAACATTTTGTATGAAATTTCTTGTAATCTCAGTTGTAATTCTGACAGTAATTTGGATAGAATGAAAGCAGTAAATGTGCCTAGACACCTGAATGAAATTCCAACCAAATCTTAATAAGTTGATGCATAATTGATACCGGCGCGCAGTATACGAGTGCATACAGTGAGGGGAATTCATCAGCATCCACCTTTAATTTTCAAATCTCAGCTGAACACACTGAAGAGAGATGCTGATTGGTTGCCATGGGCAACTGCTCCAGTTTCTACCTGCTCCAGTTCTGATAAATTCCACTTAGTGTGTATGGAGATGTGTTTGGTCACATGGAGTCTGGGATTTCTGCAGGTGATACATCTTCATTGTTATCATTAGCTATTAATCCTAATGTATGCGCTGTATAAATAACCCTTTATTTCCAACGTTTGACATTAAAGTAGAGCACCAGCTTCATTTTTGTCTAGTTCTGATTGAGCGCCACCAGGTTTCTCTGTTTACTATACACGGCCTCATTGGGGTGAATTCCCCTCACTTCCTCCTGCAGTGACAACACTGTCATAGCTTTCATACAATATTTTCAGTATTCCTAAGTTGTTGACCAGAAACAAATATGAAGACTGGCCTTTCTGACTTTATGCTTTTTTTTTAGGTCAGTGACTCAAAAAAAGTTTTCAACAGCCAGTCAACTCGCATTTTTTACGACAGCTTTATCAGCCCCCCGTATATCTTCTGTAAATCGGTGTGTATTGCAGATGACATGATCACTTGGTAACGAAAGAGCATGGAGCCGGCTTCACGGCCAATCAGGAAGTCGGACGACGTGTAATGACACGCCGCCCAGCTTCCTGATTGGTCGGGAAGCTGGCCAATTAGGAAGAAAGGCGGCGAGTCATTACTTGCCACCCAGCTTCCTGATTTGCCAGAAGGCCAGCTCCATGCTTCCTCGCCACTTGGTGATGAGGTAGCATGGTGTCGGCTTCCCAGCCAATCAGGAAGCCAGAACTTGTGCAAATGCTCACGGTGCGAATGGGGCCCTATAAGTGCCATTGTGAATGTTCATGCCTTATAAGTGCTCGTGAGGGGAAATAAAATTGAAGCAAACTAAATCTGGAGCTGTTGCCCACGGCAACCACTCAGCATCTCTCTTCAGATTGCTCAGGTAAGACTTTAAAATGATAGAGAAGCTGATTGGTTGCAGTACAAATCTGCTCCACATTTTGTCTGCTCCAGTTTTGTTGAATTCCCCCCAGTGTCTCTCATCACATAACCAGCAGTAAATATGTCAGTACGTTGCGAATCCAAAGCGCGCATTTTTTTGGGGGTCCTAAATCAATGGGGATGCGGGAAAACAAACGCACACAAACATGTGCAAATGCTCACGGTGTGAATGGCGCACTATAAGTGGCAGAGTGAATGTACATGTCTTATAAGTGCCAGTGTCTCGCATCACATAACCAGCAGTTAAAATGTCGGTAAGTTGCGAAGCGGAAGCGCGCATTTTTTTTTTTCATAAGATCCGACCATTAGAGCAGCAGCTATGCCAAAAAATCGAATCCACGGGAAATGCAATTTTTGTATTTATTTTTTAAGCTCAGAGCACACAATTAAAGAAGAATAAACCTCTTGACAGGTCAGGATTGACACATCAAGCCGGGCGCGCACGTTTTCCTGTTATCTTCCTGTTTCAAGTAGCGCATTTACTGTCAGCACGGTGAGCCGGGAAGAACACATGATAAAGCTGAGCATTTTGCCTGCTCCTCTCCCTCCGCCTGTCTGTTTCTGCAGGGCTGCTGGTAGTCTTTAAGCTGTGTGAGAATCCTGGGAGTTGGTGATGTCAGACCGGTTTGGGTCATTTGAAGGTTAGCAGCCTGGGAAGGGTTCATGGAGAGTTCACTCGCATATATTAGGCAATCCAATCTTTCATTTTGTGTGACACAAGTAGTAGGAAGTGAGCAGTTCAAATTTTTCGCAGACTTTCAGCTCACTTACACCCAGAGAGCGAGCGGGCACGGCGTACGAACTGCTACAGCAGCCTGCGAGCACCTTCAGGAATTTCCACGTTTTTAGCCTGCAGCTGACAGCTTGGATTTCTTCATCACCCCCCCTCTCCTCCTCCTCCTCCTTCTCTCTTCTCCTGCTTAAGCTGGAATGGCTGGGAAGCTTGGAAAATAGTAAATGATCATTTGGATCAATTACAGGCTTTTAGCTGTGTTGTCTGTCATAATTCATGATTCTGGTCTGGGAAACAGACCAACAGCCTACGTGCCAAAAAAGAAAAAAAGAAAAAAGGGGGCAGAGTTTGATGGAGTTGGGTGTACTTTTCGATGCCATTCTCCTGTGCACCTAAAGGAAAAGCACTTTTACAGGCACCTGGTATAGGGGGGAAATCATGTTTGACTGTATGGATGTTCTAGCGGTGAGCCCGGGGCAAATGCTGGATTTCTACACTGCGAGCCCGTCGTCTTGCATGCTACAGGAAAAAGCTCTCAAAGCGTGCTTCAGCGGATTAGGACAGACCGAATGGCAGCATCAGCACCGGCACAGTGCTCAATGTAGGTCCACTTACCAGCCCTCGTCTGGTTGGGGGTATTACTTCTCCTTTGGCTACTTCTCCCTGCATGCCGTAGAAATAACTGCACTCAAAAAATGACAGCTATTAAAATGCACTCGTTTGCTTTTGTCTCAAGTGCAACTGACAAGAACAATTAATAATTAACCATAAATGATGATCCACTTTTAACTACCTGTATTTTAAATGATTACGCCCCATGCACATGGACAGGTCGTATTTTGCATACTAGGCTTTTTTGTTTTATTTTGCCAAATAAAAAATTTAAATTGATATTTAACTGTAAATATTGATTTATGTTTGTACTGGCTGTAATATCCTGGGCCATGCATCAAATGGCAGTAAACATTATGATTTACGTTCCCTTTATAGTGCACTTTTTGTTTATACTGCATACAAAGGAAAACTCATATTTATTTATAAAGTATATTTTACCTTTACTGCCTCTGTTTACTTTTTAATGCTTCTTATCCGGTGGCAGAACACAGAAATGTGTTCTGTTTTTATTAATTGTAGTTGTAGTTATAAATTAGAGGATGCCTGTATGGGAAATAGCTTTTTCTAGAGGATACCTGTATGAGAGATACTTTTTTTTAGAGGATACCTGTATGAGGGATACTTAGGTATTTTCCATAGATACTAAGGTATTTCCCATACAGGTATCCTCAGAGGATACCTGTATGGGAAATACATTTTAGAGGTTACCCATATGGGATAAAACCTTTCTTTAGAGTATACCCATATTGGAAATAGATTTTTTTAGTGGACACCTGTATAAGCAATATTTCTTCAGAGGATACCTGTATTGGAAATATTTTTGTTAGAGGATACCTGTATTGGAAATATTTTTTAGGGGATACCTGTATGGGGAAAAAAAACTTTTAGAAGATACCTGTATGGATTTTTTTTTAGAGAATACCTGTATGGGAAATATTTTTTTAAGGATACCTGTATTGTATGGAAAAAAAATGTTTAGAGGATACCTGTGTGGGAATTATTTTTTTGTTTACCTAACATAATACTGTAATTTTTTGTAAAAATGTATATCTGTAGGAATAAGAAACCCGTTCCTTTGAGTCAGCTAAAGAAAATGTTGATTTTGCTTTGCTGGTGTATTTAACTGCTTGATGGCAGTGACAGGATAACAAATGTACTATATTTGTCTTTTGCAAAGCCATAATTCTTCACTGCGAGTGACCTTAGCACCTTTAAATTTGCTTTGCCCTGACTTTAAAAGTTTCTGCTTTGCTAAATAACCCCGGCTGCTGGACACTTTAAGTGTTCTGCCATCAATTACAGGCATGCCCCCAGATACAGTCAGTGGTTTTCCATCTACAGTAGGAGGTTTGTGAAGGAGGAGAAGGAGCCTTCTGCTTGTGGTTTTCAACGTGCTGTTATCTGATCTTGACACGGTGCTGGGTAGCACATATATTGTAAACAGTAGTAAGGCTTTAGCACCCTGGCTTCAAGTTTTTGAGAAATGACCAAAGGCACTAGAACTGCACAAGCCATTCACTGCTCCAAAAAAAAAGAGCCTGCAGGATGCTGCTTTGCTGTGACACTGATTTAGATGAATTGCCAGGCTGTTTATCACAGTGGTTTTAACACAGTGTTCGACACCTTGGCTGTGGATTGCTCCCTCAATTATGTTGTTACTTTTTTTTTCTTTCTGCTTTATGAGTACTCTGTGCTCTGTACGACTAAATTAAATTTTGTTCCATTTAAAAGTGCAATCATAAAATTGTGGATCTAAGCGCCCACCATAGCTTGTTTCTCCTTCTTGCAATTAAGTAGGACAACATGGTTCCAGCATGTTACCACTCCTTTTTTTCTTTGATTAAAATAAAATCAAAAACATTCTGTAACGCATGTTATTCTTTGCCAAAGATAACAGAGCAACATGAACTGTCATTTCTATTAGAGAATAGGAAGTCTTAAAAAAATAGTCCTTTTTCTGCTCTTCCACATAATACATATTACATGAGAAGGGTTTCTTCTGCTGGTCACTCAGAGGACACTCATTCTCTCTATGTTTGTGTTTTATACTTTTTAATCTCAGAGGAAGTCGGCCTTTGGGGCTTTAATCAAGGTAAACATGAAATGTGTTTATATAAACAGTGAAAGTGTTCAGGATATCAGTTGTCCACATGACATCAGGAAGCTAAATGATAGCATATGATATTGTTCCCATTCAGGCTTTTGTCAAGTTGCCTTTAGAAGCTTTGGAATGTCTGCGAAGCCTCTTGCCCTCTGATTATGTTATCAAACTACCTATTTTTAATGTGTGATTGCATTTCAATGTGAGTGCTGCCTCCTCCTCCACACCACTCCCTTGGTGTTTTAAAAAATCCGGCCTCTACATAAATTATTTTCTAGTGCTTTCGTGAAAGCGAGTATATAAACAGATTTTTTTTTCTTCAGCAAAATTTGGCTTGTGCAATTGTTTTGGACCAGATCCAAACATTAAATCCATGGCAAAAGAAAAAAAGACACTCAAAACACAGTTTAAAAGACATTAACTCACTCATAGTTTGCATTCTTGTGCATCTATATGCAAATACCGACAGACACCTTTTATGTGATCGTCATCTGTAAAATTAACATTAACACTAATGTATTTTAATTTGTGCTATTTAAACCATTAACATTTCTAGATATTGCATAGTTACTAAATATTAGGAGAAATGTGTCATTCAAATGCTTTTATTTTGTAGAGGATGTATAACGATAACGATATCTCGCAAAAAAAAAACAAAAAAAAACGATGGTAACAAATGGAAAAAAACATTATGGGAAAATTGATATTTGCTGTGTGTATTGTTATTATAGTTGTATCCATTGTTTAAAACATAGTCATTAGCTTTGTGGTCTCTAATTATAAAGGCATTAAAAATATTTTGGTAATTACCCCTTTATAGTGTATTTTTCCTTCTTTTTGTATGGCTTACTTTTGCTTTTACTTTATTGACAGAACAAAAATGTATAGTGTATCAAAAAACTTTCCATACTGTTGTAAATTCTACAGAGATTTTTTTTTTTTAATAATCTATCGCTGCATGTGTCTTACATGTCTGATGTAAAAATTAGTTACATTTTATAGAATACAAATTAAAAATATATAGATATATTTTTCTTAGAATGTTTTTTTTCCAGAGAGAGTTATGACAGGTGCTCTAGTTTTATAGATAAACATAGGAACCTATGCCTCTTAGATTACTGCAGTGAAATATTGACATATTTATTTTATAGCATAGAGTCTTCAAAAGTTATGGTGAATGCAAAATGCACAGCTCTTGGAGGAGCACGGCAGAATTTAAAGTAAACTTTTACTATGGATGCTGGGCTTTTAAGAGGTGTTTTTACACTCACCCTGTTATGCTTTATATTTTTTTACTATGCCATGAAGCAGAGATTTATACCTGTAGTTATTTTTTGTTGCAGGAAATAATGGTTGGAAATTTTTTGCTCACTACTGCTACAGCTGTGGTAGCTATCGATCATACTATTACTTGGACAGCAACAACTTTTTTTATGGTACCATGATTTTTTTTTTTGTTCTTAACTTTGGGCAGATAAGTATTAAAAAATCCATGAAGGGCTGTGCTGTTTTTTCCCCCTTGTGTATAACGTATTATACATGATTTATCTTACTAATATCATCATCAGCAATCTATTTGTTATCGCTAGATCATATTGCTTGCAAAAACACATGCAACCGCCATCTTAAATTTGCTTTCTCCACCCACTGTATTGATTTTGATTACGAGTCCGAATTATGGGAAGATAAACCCTTCCAGACCTTATGTGATCTGGGATTCTGCGTATACTCAGTTTAGTTTTAACATGTACAAACAGGGAGGGCAACATTTCATTTTTATGTATAATAACTTTTGTATAAGCGAGTGTATGCAATTTGTTTGCTGCACATTCTATATAGTAGATACATTTGCATGTTTTTGTAGCCAGGGTGTGTCATAAAACCAATAACCCTGGCTGAGATGCTTCAATGAGTTGTTGGTCATGCCCAGAGATACATGTACATATATGATGCTCATATTTTATATATTTTTTAAACCGGTTATAGGTCCAGAAATCTACATCTCTAATGCGATAATTAACCATTATGCCAAGAAAGCCAGTTTAGAATAGCTCAAGGCATACAAACCTTGCGGGGGTGTATATTGCTCATAGATCACTATCTAAAACTATTGTAGTATAACAGAGTCTTTAAAACAGTATATATTTTTTATTTATAATCCCCAAGTTCCAATAGTGGTACTAAAAGAAATAAAAGGAAATCGCTAAAATAAAGCAATAAATAGATATGCAAAGTGTACATTTTTCAGTAGTCATGCCTACTTCAATCCCCTGAGTTAAACTTGATGATATGGAGAAATTAAGTAATGCTTATGGAGAGAGAGCCAAGAATAGAAGGCAATGTTTAAGATGCCCTTTTTTTATTATAAGGTATCTGTGCTGGTGGAGTCAGACAGAACCTGGGCACATTTTGTGAAAAGCACTATTTATCCTGGGAAAGCCCTTAAAAGGTTTAAATATGCATTAAGACATGGATAAATAGGTATATTGTACAGTATTTGCACAATATATCTATAGTATGTCAAATGCAAAGTAAATCCTTAACCTCTTAGCATATCATAATCATTTACTGCTTGTTTGTGCTTTTAGTACATTCAGTTAATAAGTAAGTTGGATGCCATTTGCTTTTCAATATGCTGTTTTTAAGCTAGCCACAAATATATATATATATATATA